GGTGCTTCTTGGATCCTTCGGGATGAAAAAGGGTCCACAATCTTGCATAGCCGTCGTGCTTACTCATGTATGCGCTCAAAGACAGAAGCAGATTTGTGGGCTCTTTTTTGGGCAGTCGATTGTTTGCATACTCTACATTTCTCGAATATTATTTTTGAGACTGCCTCTACAACCCTACATGATGCTCTTACCACGACGAGTTACCTTAGCCTCAGCCATATACGTCACAGCATTTTCTTCCTCCTTGCAAGGATTGATTCATGGAGTTTGGATCATGCCCTTCCCGAACGCAATGAAGCTGCAGCGGCAATTGCTTTGAGTGTCACGCGCGACCTTCGTCATCAATCCTACATCGCCCGTAACGCTCCGGTGTGGCTTCATCATCTACTCGCGCTGGAGGCTCAGCAATGAGGTATTGTCTCACCCGAAATGGCCAATCCTAATCAGTCGTCGCCCGAAATGTCCCGGCTTGGCTTCATTACCAACCAGAGTAAGTGTTCACTATGGAAACTCGACAATAATGGGAATGGGTGAGATTTACTTTCTTTCTCCTTGTTTGTGTGGTGTCTATTGACATCCTATTTAATTTCTTATTTTTTTTTGCTTTGTATCACAAATATTATCTTCACATGTTCAAGTGTTATAAAAAAAAACAAATGAATGCTAGAAAAAAAATTCTAAAACATCAAACTATAAAATTATTAAATTTCAGACTAAAACCTTGCTTAATAATGAAAATATGTTACAAAATCCCTTGTTTAATAATCACATTTATGCGTGTCCTTAACTTTTAACATATTTCCCTCATCATTGGCATAAAGGTTTTTGTTTAAATGGGAAACATTTGTAGTCTAATGAATTAACATGTTGAATATTTTAAATCCAAGTACATCCAAAACAGAACCAAATCATTTTGGTTTTCTCCATCGTAGGTAATTTATTATGAATCCGTATAGAAAAATAAGATATGTTAGTTTTTACGTGGAAATAAATATTGATTAGTTGAATATGGGGTTTAACCACGTGATGTTAGTTTAGTGGCATGCAAGTTTTAAGTATATAAACAATTTAGATTTGAAATGCCCTATTACATTATATCGTACGGCCACACGAATATGAACCAAATGGCTATAATCTATTTGAATACAGGAAAAAGTGATCATCCGTGGTTTATATTTTTCTGTTGGAGATTAGTCTCGAAATATCTCAATGTTAATTAATAAAAAGTAAAAAGTGGGAAACAAAGGAATAAATGATCAGAAATGGACGAACGGTCAAACGCCAAACCATCAAATCACATTTTTACTAAGTACAGTCAAAACTTTTAGTGGGTTTGCCTTAACGAATTAGGCCAACGTTCTTATCCATCACCGTCTTGTCCAACTTACCATTTTTTCCATATCAACAATTTAACACGCATGCATATGGTTTCCAATTGTGATCGTGGTTGGTCAGTCTTTTCTGCGAGTAATGTGGTGAATGCTTTACAAAAATCAAGTTCCATAGAATTGTCGTTTAAATCGATCCATATAAATATATCACTTTTAATGTTTAAGAAAGATTATTTGAAATCAGTTTGCTAATTCGGCTTCCATTTTAGTTCAGTATTATAATATTAATCTTTTTCGGGTATACTGAATGCAACAAACCAAGTAACATTCAAAATGAATCAAGTTATTTATTTATTTTTATTTTTTTGAAAGGAAGACTATATACGATATCTCGTAGTCCCTCTTTTAACTATTTTCTTAACATACATATTTCAACCAAGCGGAGGTATAGTTTTATAGTAAGAGGAGATGATTTGTTAGTTTTGAATTTGATTTTTATCCGGAACTAAACAACCATTTTTTGACCAATCGATATAGAACATGTCTATGTTTCATTTATAAAATCTTGGGTTAGACTATTTGCAATTTCTGCAAATTATTTAGGTCTCCACAACTATAAAATAACATCAACATTTTCATAAATGAATATATATGTATTGAAACCTTTCTTCTATATATACATGATACCAGACAAACACTTATGACGATAAGTAGGGCACAAATCAGAGCGAAAGTTGAGGGGCCAGCAAATTTTAAACTAAGGTGCGTATGGGTATGGATAAGCTTAATTAATGGGACAGCTGAGATTAGCCTAAGAATCGATTAGGTACACTCTCCTTTCGATAAAAATTGCAACCCAGTAAAACCCTCTTTAAAATACCAAACACCGATATAACTAGTTTGAATTTGAATAATGGTGAATTTCTTTTATCACACTATTAATGAAAAATATCCCACATCAGAAATATAAGAATTAATCTATTATTATATAAAGGGTTATGGTCAATACACTAATCACCAATTGATTTTAAGTTATAAATCCATAATAAACCCGAATCTAACACACACAAATAAAAGATTATTATATTGTCTACAATGGTATTATTGATTTTCATTATATTTTGTATAGCTGTGATCCTTATATTTTGAAGGCGGCTATATTATTTGGCATTTTCTAAAACACGTCTTCTTGTGCATCGAAAATCTTATAATTATTGGCATTAGGCAACGCATGAACCCCAAGTATGTTTCTTATACAACATCATGGTAGTGATTGAGTATCACATATATATGTCGTGAACCAATCTAAAAAGACAGTTTCCAAATTGTCTTGGTTTACGTTTCTATATTCCTTGCAACAAATTCTATATGTGATTATATACAATAGAACCTCTATAAATTAATACTCAATAAATTAATAATTTATATAAAGTAATAAATTTTCTCGGTCTCGAGTTGGACTGATTCAAAATATGACATAAATCAATAAAATAATAAGATAATAATTTTTTAGAAAATTTTATATAAATATATGGTCCCATTAAAATTATAAATTAATAATATATCTATATATACATTTCTTATAAGTATAACCTAAACTATATTGTTGATTTTATGTTCACAATGAAAATCCATGTATTTTTTCTAAACATTTCAATATATTTTGATAATATTCAGTAAAATTATATCAAAAACCACATATGAATTATATGAAACATAAAAATATAAACTAAGTAATATAATAAAAGTATAAGAAAGTCAAATTTCTAAAATTTTATGAATATATATACCTTAAAATTAAATATAATTTTATATTATAAATACAAGTATTTAAAAAGATTAAAAAAATCTATAAAAGAGATTTTTTTTGTAAATTAATATCTCTATTAATTAATAAAATTTTAAAATTTCATTATGCGACTAAAGTGTTAGGTGACATGGGTTAATTGGGGTCTTGGTTAGTCGGTAGCTAATGATATTTATAGTCATTCAAGATCGAAAATCATACTACTATCTTATAATTACTTTCTCTTTCTTTCTTTTGAATTTTTAAATATAAAACTTATTATTTCTCTTCTTTCAATATTGGATTGGCCCCAAAAATGGATTCGGCTCGTACTTCTATGTTAATCACTTTGCTATCTTCCTATTTTAGTAACAAATGATATTACTAAAAATTATCTTAATTCTCTAATTGCTGATTTGCTTAATATGACAAAAAATAGTATATACAAAACTCCAACTGCTCCCAGCCAATAAAGAAAGAGCACACACGTCGACATTAATCATTTTGATTGTCTTTTTTTTTTTTTGAACTACGATTGTCTTTTTATTTATTATAAATTTATTCAATTAATATCTTCCGGTCCGGTCATTCAGATCTCTGTCGTCTCTTTCTCTCACTATATCTCTATACACACAAACCAATCTTTCAAACATTATATACTCTAATCTTTCTCTTTCTCATCTTCTCCATGAGCTTCTAAAGATAAAAAGCTTGACCCTTCTTTACTTAACCCTTGTTCTTTAAGAAAAAAGAAACAAATATTTTCTTCATCTTTTATAGCTTACCAAATCAAAGAAAAGTATCTCCTCTAGAAACCCTAATTTTTTTTAATGAAGAATCATCAAGAAGCGATGAGTAGTAATACCGAAGAATCTCTAAAATCTCTGTCGTTGGATTACTTAAATCTCCTAATCAACGGTCAAGCTTTCTCCGACGTCACTTTCAACGTAGAAGGCCGACTAGTCCACGCTCACCGTTGCATCTTAGCCGCACGTAGTCTCTTCTTCCGCAAATTCTTTTGCGGATCTGATCCTTCACAAGCTGATCCGGCTAACCAAACCGGGTCAGGGACTAGAGCAGCCGTTCTTGGAGCGGTCATACCGGTTAACTCGGTCGGTTACGAAGTTTTCTTGCTTCTGCTTCAGTTCTTGTACAGTGGTCAAGTCTCTATCGTACCGCATAAGCACGAGCCAAGATCGAATTGTGGAGATAGAGGATGTTGGCACACGCATTGCACTGCAGCTGTGGATCTCTCTTTAGATATCTTAGCCGCGGCTCGTTATTTTGGTGTTGAGCAGCTCGCGTTGCTTACTCAGGTTCTAACTCATTTCATATTTATGTGAATTTATTCACATATTTGCCAAAAAAAAGTAATTAAGAAAGTCTGTTTATGTTAATGTTCTTGTTTTCTGAATTTGGTAATGAGCTGTTACGATATTTGGTTTGGTTGAGTTGAAATTTGAAGCCATTTGATGATGCATGTATATAAATATAGGTGAGAGTTGTTATTATCTTCATTTCATGTGTAAGTGAGTTTTATGATTGCTTGGATTGCAAGTACTGCAACATCCTTTATTCCGACAGGCAATGGACTGATGTATTATGTTGCATACCGAGAAAAATTACTTAAGATATTATATATATTTTTGTCTTGATTTTTATTGTTTAACTTTCTTCAACATCCGAAATCTTTTTTTTTTGTTGAGTAAAAATTTACCTTTCAAAATAGTAACTTTGACTAATAACAGGGATCTTATTAGGAACCCAAAATAGAAACATGACATGATGTTTTGTGATTTGGATGATTTCTTTTACTAATCACATATACGTATGTAACCGCCATTTTTGTTTGACAATTCCGCAAATGCAATGGTCAAAATCAAATGATTTTATCATCCCCTAGGGATTTAGATTTTTTTTTAAAAATTTAAGTGTAGGGCTTGAGATTTAATTCGTAGAATTTCACTTATTAAATAAATTTGGCCATCTTATTTCGCTATTATTTTTTATTTTTCCTAATCTTTGGCCTTCGCAATGTCACAACAAGTCTTTTATTTTTTTTATATTTTGAGCACTCCCTTACAATGAACATGCATGATGGAACATAAGTGGTGGATATATAGTGTCTTTAAATTCAACATTTTGTCTTAACATTCTTTACTTTTTTAATCACAGAAACATTTGACAAGCATGGTGGAGAAAGCCTCAATTGAAGACGTGATGAAGGTACTAATAGCTTCAAGAAAGCATGACATGCATCAACTATGGACCACTTGCTCCTACCTCGTCGCCAAATCCGGTCTTCCAACAGAGATTCTAGCCAAGCACATCCCAATCGAACTAGTAGCCAAAGTTGAGGACCTTCGTCTCAAATCTTCCATGCCTATACGTTCCCTAATGCCTCACCAACATAACCTAACCTCAGCTCTAGACCTAGAGGACCAAAAGATCAGGAGGATGAGACGAGCATTGGACTCAGCAGACGTCGAGCTCGTGAAGCTAATGGTAATGGGAGAAGGACTCAATCTAGACGAGTCCTTGGCTTTGGTTTACGCCGTGGAGAATTGTAGTAGAGAGGTTGTGAAGGCACTTCTTGAGCTTGGAGCAATCGATGTGAACTATCCCGCGGGTCCCACCAGGAAAACCGCACTCCACATTGCGGCTGAGATGGTCTCACCAGACATGGTGGCCGTCTTACTCGACCACCATGCAGATCCCAACGTTCAGACAGTTGATGGTATCACTCCTCTTGATATCCTTAGAACCCTAACGTCTGATTTCTTGTTTAAGGGGACGGTTCCTGGATTGACTCACGTTGAGCCTAATAAGCTCAGGCTTTGTCTCGAGCTGGTCCAGTCAGCAGCATTGGTGATATCTCGTGAAGAAGGGAACAATAGTAATAACGATAACAACACCGTGATGTACCCTAAAGATGAACACATGAGCGGAAGTGGTTTGGATTCAAGATTGGTTTATCTTAATCTTGGAGCTACAAATCGAGATCTTGGAGATGAACATAGGAATCAAACGGAAGAAATGAGCCTGCATCATCATCATGACCCGCCAATGATGTATCATCATCATAACCATCACCATTTTTAGGTTTTTATAGCGGATATCTTTTAACTATGATAATTTAAGACATTGTATTTTCAAGAGTTAGTTTATTTGTTGTTATGGACTTTTTATGTGTATGTGTATATGGATTATGGATATGCGAACAATTTAAACTGTTGTATTCCATGAAGAGTGGAAGGAGGCGATCAAGATAATTAGACCACTAACAAAATGGTCATTAGAAAGTGTATTTTTATATGAAACGAAAATAATGCTGTTGTTATTGAAAAAACTTAAGAATACATTTATATAGTTCTTATCATCTCTTTATAAAGTTGTAAATCATACAACTTTTGTTCTTATAATCTCATATTTCTCTTCTCCAAGTCCCTGAAATACAATTATTAACTTAATAAAGCTATAACAATATTTTCTAATCTTTTAGTTCATAGCAAATCACTAAGCTAATAAGTCTCCATAACCCAATTTTCTTAGGACTTGCGCATGCTATACATATAGCAAATCAGTCAAGTACATATGATTCGATTTTTTTTTTTTTTTGAAAAAGGGCTTTCAATTAAAAATTAAAAAGTTTATATGATAAGGTTTAAAACCATATGCTTCCATTTCAATTGCAGTGAATCATTGTCAAGAACTTCACTACATATATTTATTTTATAAATCAAGACTAAATCATAACTACATACTCTTTTAAACGTCATCAAAAGGTTGAACACAAATAATTGACTCTAACAACATTTTGAAGATAGAGCAATATGGTTTCAATGAAAGTTAAATTAAGAATTTCTCCAAAGATTTGCAATTACGGTTAAGCATTATACATCTTCAATCTGAAAATTTAATTTGTGCTCAAGCAATTAACTCACTAATTAGTCTTTGGCGGGCCAAAAAAATATATTGGTGGAATTTTATTTCAGGAAGAAGTTTCATGGCTAAAACGAGGTTTAACCAAATTTAAAAGACAGTAGAGTACACCAAACTATTTAAATAATCAGAAAAATAATTGGTTACAAACCTAATCAGGCATGAAAAACGCCTCATGCTGATTTAAAGAGTCATATATAGTTTAGTTATATACGTATGTCTCTCTCTCGGCTAATAAGAAGACAATCTTTATATTATAAAAACCACCAACGTGGTCGAATTTTGACCACACAAAATTAAATATGGACGAATATAATTGTATATCTATCTTTATCACAAGAAAAATGAGGTTTTAACGGGGGTACAACCTCTAGTTTTAATACTGTTAAATCTTTATAACATTAGTTTATACAAACGAATCATATGCCCCGTCCAAGCACTACCACCCACGATTCTCTTATCTATTCGAATATCCTGATTTATGCCTACTGATTCGCACATTGGGCTCAAAGAACCCCAAGATTTTCAAGAAAAAATCCCCATAGTTTTAAATTCTCCTTTTTGAACCCCTAAACTTTTACATATTAGACAAAAGCCAGCTCTCTAAATGTTTGCCTATATATACACACTCATAACAAAGAAACTTTCTCTCTAAAACACTCACAAAAAAAGAAGAGAAACAACTCAAAGAGCAAGAAATGGCCGGACTACAATACAGTTTCTTCCCAACAGACTTCTTCTACCCACGAGCTTCTCCTCCAGCTACAAGCCTCGTCGCAGCTAATCCAAATATGGAGATAACCCATAAGAGAAATGATGCAGTAGTGATTGATAAAACTCGTGCGTCTAATTTGTCCCTTGTTATACTTGAAAAGTCGAATACTCAAACATGGAAGACTAAGAAGCCACTTTTGATCGAAGACGACATGTTTTATTTTTGATTGATCTGGTTCTTTTGTTATACCAGTCTTGCCTCGTTCGTTGTGATACACATCAATAAGGGTTATATGAAAAAACGATCTATATGTTTTTCTAGAATATAGGTATTGAGCCTCATCGATGCCTATAGGCAACACAGATTTGTTTTCATGATCTGGCTGTTGTTTTGATATCTGACGAATACCATTACATAAAATAAAGTTTTTGATAGATTGTAATATAAAATTATGTGTGGACTTCCCTTCTTTTGTAAACACGACGTCCGACTATGATATTATTTCAATTGAAATTCAGTCCGCTATCTTAATATTTATTTCATAATTAGCAGATGTTGACCATCCCTTATTTTACCACGTCCACGACATTGAGTTTTTCAATATTACAATGTTTTGTCAATATATAACCAGGCTTATTATTTTCATTAATACTTTTTAATAATTCATAAATCCTCCTTAGTTGTTGTCTTTACATTTCCATGTACAAAACAATACCTTACATACTTTTTTGCTAAATATTTTAAATTACTTATTGACCACCAGGATTTGGAGGAAAATGTTGTATATGATGAGGTTTTTAAAATTTAAAAGACGAAATGATCATAAAATTTGCGACAGGGCCGGTTGAGAGGGGGGGACAAACGGTGCGACTGCCCCGTGCTCAAATCCGTGTCTCCCGGTATTTTATCAATTATGGGGTCAATTTTTTTTTGTATTTACCTATTTTCTATAAATATTTTAAAATATTCACTAAATTTAGTTGAAAAGATGCTCAAAAATATTTTATGTGTATATAATATATTTTCATCTCAAATTTTATAAATATTACTGAGAAAAAATTAAAATATTTTTAAATTTTTAATAAAAATAAATATTAAAATTTAATATTTTTTTTTGTTTCGGGACCAAAAAATGTTGAGCTGGCCCTGATTTGCGACTATATGAAAAAAGAAAAAGATATGAAAGAAGAAGCAGAGAGGTTTGCCAATACTGTGCAACATCATTTGTATATGATTGAATGTGCATTCCCATTGGCAAATAAAAGAAAGTAAACGAAGAAGAAGTTCCATAACCACAACTAACTTATGATCCAGATGATAAACATATATAAAACAAAAGAGAAGAATATGATGAGATGAACAAAAATAAAACAACAAACAATCCAATTCCAATCCAGCAATTTCACAGCTTTAAGCAGACACCTCACTCAGAAGCAAGCATCCAAGGCACAGCAACAGCAAATAGCAGCCAGACTGCAAAAGAAGAAGTCACAAATTCACTAATTAACACACAATAAAGATTACAAAAAGCTCATATATTCAGTAACAGTTATAAATCATATCTTATACTGGTAGCAATTTCATATATAAAAATGAAAATACGAGTAGCATTGTATATACAAACTAAATAGAACCTACTATCGTATTAATCATTTCCCAGTCAGATAGTACTAAGTTCCATTTAATCAGATTACTTCATATAGAGAGAAAGAGATAACAAACGTGACTAGACGAGACAGACACATCATTTTTAAGAATTTAGAATCATGCTAATACATGCAAATACAATTTTTTTCTTCTTCTAATAACTAGAAGGTTTAGGGGTTTCCGTATATTTTTCTAGATCCAGGTTCAGGTAATTTAAATTAACTCTACTAGGAGAGTAGACCCATCCCAAAGAAAATCGAACCTACGACCTTAGACCATTACTAAGTGATACAAATCATCTAAGCATACCAAAACAAAAGAGGATGTGAACCGAACATAAATGACTTACCATCCTCCAAGAAAACCAGAGTTACTACTCTGCTTCTGCTGTTGTTGTTCCTGAGGCGGTGGGTATTGCGGTGGATAAGAAGGAGGATAGCCTTGCTGAGGATATCCCTGCAGCGGAGGATAACCTTGCTGAGGGTTAAAGTGTCCATCTGATGGATAACCTAATCCATATCGACTCAAAAAAAACATATTAGAAAAAAAATGAATAGGAGTAAAACATAGCTAACAACATTACTTACATCATAAGTTAAAGATGGTTTGTGAAACTCAAATCAAAACAAAAATGTAAAGACCTGAGATCAGTATCAAAATTGATTGAGAAGGTACCTTGAGGCGGAGGAACACAAACAGGAGGTTGACTCATGGTATATTCTTGTTTCTCTCTTTTTTTTTCACTTGTGTTTTTGTTTGTTCTCTAGGTTAAACACAAGAGAGAAGAAGTTAGCTATATAGCAGAGGGAAAGCGTGTCTTATGTGTGTGTAGTAAGTTTTGTTTTTGTTTTAATGGAAAATATATATAATTTATTGTGAGTCAGTCAACTTAACAAATACTAATTACTGAATTTTGACAGAAAACTTGGCAAAAAATTATCAGAGATAAACATTAGAAAGCTGAAAAAAGAAATACAGCCTTTAGTACTTACAGATGGTGACAGAATCATTTTTTGTCAATATATAAAATATCCTTCCTAATGCAACAAATCTTTTCTAAAAATTCTTAAAATGAGAGGGAAAATATTTGAATGTTCAGATGTGGCGTGTATCATCCATCCTCAAGGACAAAAAAAATGAGAATTATTATAATTTATCCCATTAGAAAAAAACTTATCACATTTTCTCATTTCCATCTAATATTTTACTTGAAAATCTTATGATACTAGGTGGTTAGAAATAATTTTCAAAGTAATTTTGTTAAATATTTCCATATACAAAAAATACCTTACATACTTTTTTGCTAAAAATTTTAAATTACATATTGACCACCAGGATTTGGAGGAAAATGCTGTATATTATGGGGTTTTTAAAATTTAAAAGACAAAATGATAATAAAAATTGCGACTATATGCAAAAAAAGACATGAAAGAAGAAGCAGAGAGGGTTGCCAATACTGTGCAACATCATTTCGTATATGTATATGATGAATGTGCATTCCGCCATTCCCACTGGCAAATAAAAGAAAGTAAACGCAGAAGAAATTCCATAACCACAACAAACTTATGATCCAGATGATAAACATATATAGGATTTTTAACATAAAAACCCCTCAATTAAGTTTATTTTGGGTAAAAACCCCTAAACTAAGTATTTAATGAAAAAAACCCCAAACTAATTTTATTTAGTGAATTAAACCCTCGCCGGTCATAAATACCCATACTACAGGTAAATCTTTAGTTTAGGGGTTTTATCATTAAACATAAAAATTCAAAAAAAAAGAAATAACATTATCTAAAAATTCGTAATTTTAATTTTCAAAACTAGCATTTTAAAAATTTCTGTAAATATATGAGTGATTTCTTATCCTTGTAAAATGGATTTTTAACTCTAAAATACCTTAACTAAGTTTTTTTTTGGGTAAAAACCCCCAAACTAACAAGTAAACCCCCATATTAAACATAGTTGAAGGGTTTTATCATTAAAAATCTAAAAAAAAAATTATAACATTATCTAACAATCAGTAAGTTAAATTTTTAAAATTAGCATTTTTCAAACTTTCTGTAAATATATGAGTTTGGTTTGTTTTAACATCAACATTATATATATATATATATATTAAAATTTTAAAACACAAAAATATAATAAAAATCATCTAAAGATTTATTCTTACATTTTTATTATATAAGATATAATTTTTGTTCTGTTTTCTTGTTTTTATATTTATAAATTTTGATAATTTTTATTACACGTAAAACGTTAGATAATTTTTCTTATATTTTCTTGGTTTTTACATTTTAAATTTATACATATATAATTTTGATTTTAAAAGGATAAAAAATCAGACTCATATAGTTACCTAATTTTTTTTAAAATGCTAGTTTTGAAAATTAAAATTACAAATTTTTAGATAATGTTATTGTATTTTGAATTTTATTGATTTTTATGTTAAATATAAAACAACTAAACTAAATATTTACCGGTAGTACTGGTAATTATGACCGGCGAGTGTTTAATTCACTAAATAAAGTTAGTTTGGTGGTTTTTTCATTAAATACTTAGTTTAGGGGTTTTTACCCAAAACAAACTTAATTGAGGGGGTTTTATGTTAAAAATCCACATATATAAAACAAAAGATAAGAATAAGATGACATGAACAAAAATAAAACCACAAACAATCCAATTTCACAGCTTTAAGCAGAGTCTCCACTCAGAAGCAAGCATCCAAGACACAGCAACAGCAAATAGCAGCCAGACTGCAAAAGAAAAAGTCACAACTTCACTAATTAGACACAATAAAGATTACGAAAAGCTCATATATTCGGTAACAGAATATAAATCATATCGTATATTGGTAGCATATATAAAAATGATTACAAAACCAATTGCTATAAAGTAGCATTGTAAATACAAACTAAATAAAATCTAACAGTATCATATATTAAGCAGTTTTCCGGTTAGATAGTACTAAGCTCCATTTGATCAGATTACTCCATATAGAGAGAACGAGATAACAAACGTGGTGACTATACGGAACAGACAAATCAATTTCGAGAATTTAAGAGTCATGCTAATACATGGACATACAAATCTTTTTTTTAAATGACTAGAAGGTTCAGGTTATTTAAATTAACTCTATGTAGGAGAGGAGTAGACCCATCCCCAAGAAAAATCGAACCTATGACCTTACACCATTACAAGAGAGGATGTGAACCGAACATAAATGACTTACCATCCTCCAAGAAAACCAGAGTTACTACTCTGCTTCTGCTGTTGTTCCTGAGGCGGTGGGTATTGCGGTGGAGGATAACCTTGCTGAGGATATCCCTGCGGCGGAGGATAGCCTTGCTGTGGATATCCAGGAGGTGGAGGATAAGCGTCCTTAGGGTTAAAGTGTCCATCTGATGGATAACCTAATCCATATCGACTCAAAAAAAACATATTAGAAAAAAATGAATAGGACTAAAACATAGCTAACAACACTATTTACATCATAAGTTAAAGATGGTTTGTGAAACTCAAATCTAAACAAAAACGTAAAGACCTGAGATCAGTATCAAAATTGATTGAGAAGGTACCTTGAGGCGGAGGAACACCACTCATGGTTTATACTTGTTTCTCTCTTTTTTTTTCTTCACTTGTGTTTTTTGTTTGTTCTCTAGGTTAAACACAAGAGAGAAGATGTTAGCTATATAGCAGAGGGAAAGCGTGTCTTATGTGTGTGTGGTAAGTTTTGATTTTGTTTAAATTTAAAATATATCTAAATTATTGTGAATCAGTCAACTTAACAAATACTAATGACCAAATACTAAATTTTGACTGAAAACTTGGCAAAAATTATCAGAGATGAACATTAGAAAGAAATACAGCCTTTAGTATTGACAGATGGTGACAGAATCATTTTTGGACAATATATAAAATATCCTTCCTTTTTTTTTTGTAACACTTTTTTTTTGTAACACAAAATATCCTTCCTAATTCAACAAATCTTTTCTAAAAGTCCTTAAAATGAGAGGGAAAATATTTAAATGTTTCATATGTGGCGTGTATCATCCATCCTAAAGGGAAAAAATGAGAATTATTATAATTTATCCCATTAGAAAAAACTCATCACATTTTCTCATTTCCATCTAATATTTTACTTGGAAATCTTATGATACTAGGTGGTTAGAAATAATTTTTAAAAGTATTTTTTTTTGTATATAATCAGAACTTAAATTTATTAATATTAATAAATAAAAGTTTTTATTCCAAATTATAAAATAAAATAAATAAAAATTGTTTTGTTTGACTTATGATGTTTTAAACAAACTGATTTCAAAGTATTGTATAGTGTTAAATAAATTCAACAATTTGAAACTTTATTAATCCCTATTTATATTTATTTATTTATCTAAGATTTTTTTAAATATTTAACACTCTATACGATTTTGAATTTTAATTAAAATTATTTTAGTTTTGTATTTGTTAAAATAAACTGAACTTTAATTTTAACAAAAAATATAGATATATATACCAAAATGATTGTTTTATACTAAGTTGATTTGAATTTTTCTATGCTTGCAGTTATATATTTTATTTTTACAATAATAATGTATATATTTACATATAAGGTATATACCTAACTGTTATTATCTCATTTTAGGAGTTTTACTCAAAAACAAAATAATTATCATTAAAAATGTTTGTTGTAATAAAGTACGAGAAATGTCCTGTCACATATTTCTCTAAGTCATATCCTATTTCTTTAAAAATGTTTAGATAACATGTAAGCAAATTTTTAAAAACCACTTCTCAATGTTTAGGGGATTTCTCCTGTTAAGATTAAAAATATACATAGTTTTTAGTAACAACGAAATCGTCTAACCAGAGATAAAGTTTCATAAACCGAGTTCATAGATCTAGTAACTACTGATTAACAAAATCAAGGACAAATGCCTGATATGTATAAAGCACGCCCAAAACAATTAAGTATCAGAAAATCTCTATCATAGACTTTCCAAGTAGCAAATACACTAGCATAACACCTGCGCCTTGCACATAATAGTGTATATAATTAAAATATAAAACTTTAGTATTGAAAATTTTAAAATTTACATATGATTGTTTTTATATGTATTTGGAATTTTGGAATTTTTATATAATTAGGTATACATAAGTTCAGAAACAATTGGAATTAGAACTGTAGATCAAAACTTAGAATTTAATGGATTCGGTTCATAGATTTTTTTCACTTTTCAGTGTTTGAGACTTCAAGTGCTGAAAAATAAACGGAGTGTCACATGATTTAATTAGTAGATCATTATCAAGTTCCATAATGCTTTCTTAAGAAACAGTTGGTAGAATATTTGCATTTAGAATATAGAATGTTTTAAAAATTATTTTTGAATAAAAAATATTTTATAAATAATTAATTTAAATTTTAAATTATAATTATGTTTAAAGTAAAATTATTTATTCATACGATATGCAATATATATATATATATATATAAACCTAAACACCTATTAAATTAAAATTATTTATTCATATAATTTTATAATCATTGTAATTTATTATAAAAAAATTTAGACCATGATCACAAAAATTTATGTCAGATTTTTAACAGTTTTAGTAATTTATACTCGTTTTGAAAATTTCAAAATACAACATATATTAAAAAATCTAAAATTTTATTATATGATTAATGTAGTTGTGTAGTTTATTTTAATAATAAAAAATTGAAAAATGATATAAAATATACAGATTGTTAACAAATCTTTATTATTTAAAATCATTAATAGTCATATATATCTTAATCACATTAGATAATTCCGTAAGTTTTATTTAAGGAAAAAATATATAAAAGATATAGTTTGATATATCTTATATATCTTATATGAGATTAGATACCTTGTTTTAAAACTATGCTTTATAGAATGTGGTATAGAATTCTTCTAAATTGAAATAGAAAACACAGAAATGTGTCACGTAGGATATAATTATTTTTTTATTAATAAAAATTTAAGGTTACAATTTTTCAAATTTTTTTAAATTAATATATATGGGATATTGATTGGTTCAAAATCCGAAACATTAGCAACTACTAACTAGCAACTACCAAACGCAAACTTACTAATAAGCCAAGTAAACAAAAAGCTGAGCCACGGTTAAAAAAACAACTATCAACGATTCAGACATCAGTACAATAACTTCTCCTCTCCTCGAGCTTCTCTGTCTACAAGCACTGCCACGGCTAATCAGACTCTGATCGTATCATTAGCACTTAGCAGCATCCATCATACTTTTGTCTGTGATCATAAGAGAAGATCAGCCTGTTTCAGCTTTCAACCCAGCAACAAGACTTTACAAAGTGTGATGATGCTTACCTGAAACTGTTTGTCTAAGAAGTCTGACCAGTCCTACGACGTTGATGATTGAGATGCTTTTGGAAGTCCCTTCCCCAAAGACAAATCATGGTTAAAACCTGAAAGAAGATACTGAAAAACCGTATATTTTTTCTTGAAACAGATTCAGGTAACAACTGTTTTAATTTTATATAATCTGCGTAAAGACAAGATCTGCACTTAATTTTATAACAAGTTGTAAATACAATTTTAATACGCAAAATAAAACAAAGTCCATAAATTAGCTAATTGATAGTACTAATCCCTGGAGATTTATTAACACGCCGGTCTTTCATAAGTTCCCGGGTCTTCTCCACACCATCCCAACGGTCAGCTCCCGCATAAATATTAGACAAAAGCACATACTTTCCACTGTTTTCACTTTCTAACCCCAACAATTTCTCCAATGCAATTTCACCCCTCTCCAAGTCATTATAGATTTGAGCTGATCCAAGAAACGATCTCCACAGCATTGCATTCGGCTCCATCGGCATCTTCTCGATGAACTCTTCAGCTTCTTTCAACCGTCCGGATCTTCCCAACAGATCAACTAAACATCCATAATGCTCAACCTTAGGCTCCACGTCATAAACCGCTTTCATCGAGCCGAAAATTCGGACACCCTCCTCGACTAGACCCGAGTGCGAACACGCGGATATCGTCACCACAAACGTCGCATCGTCCGGAGTTAATCCTTCCGAGATTAGGTTCTTGTAAACCCCCAAAGCTTCTTGGATAAACCCGTGAACTGCTAACCCGCGAATCATTGCATTGTAACATAAAGTATCTCTCACGCGCATTTCATCGAACACTTTGCGGGCGAAACTCACGCACCCGCATTTCGAGTAGAGATCAATGAGAGACGTTCCAATAAATTGGTTAAGAGAGAGATTGGTCTTCAAGAGATAAACATGACCCCACACACCTCCACAAAGATCACCCGAACTCGCACAAGATTTGATCCAAGCTACGAGAGAAACCTCGTTAACTGTGACATGCGAACTCATCTGCATTTTCAAGAACAACTTCAAACACTCGTCGTGATCAATCTCAGCGTACGCAGCTAAAAGGGTGTTCCAAGTGGCTAAATCAGGTTCTGTAATTCGGTCGAAAAGAGACCGAGCTGCTCTCAGTTTCCCGCAATTCGCGTAAAACCCGACCAAACCAGCTTCCACAAACCTGTCTTGTTTATCGAGAAACTTCAAGACATGGGCATGGAGAGCTCTTCCATGGGGATGCCAGCGAGGGTGAAAGCCCGAGGCTTTGAAGAGAGAAGGGTAAGTGAACTCATTGGCTCTCCTCCGAATCTGGGAGTAGAGAGAGAATGCGAGGTGGGTTTGAGTGGATTGGTGGTTGGAGACGATGGAGGAGATGAGAGTGTTGTAGAGGAAGACGGAAGGGTTGGAGATGCGGTTGAAGATGGAGAGAGCGTAGGGTAAGGAGAGGGTGGAGGATAGAAGAAGGAGTTTGCTGAGAGGGAAGGTGTGGTGAGAGAGGCCTGTTGTGAGGAACTGTCCGTGGATTTGTTTTAGGTTTTTGAGAGTTTTGCATTTTGGTATGAGTTTTAAGCATTGGTGGTTGTTGCTTGTGGTTGGAGATGTCATTGGCACAAGAAAAGGGTTTAAGTTACTTGTGATTTACAAAGTTTTCCTGATATTTGCAAAAAAGGAGAGGTTAAAAAATGGTTATTCCTCCGTATAGAGAGAACGAGATAACAAACGTGAAAGCATTTTGAGGGCCCATGGGGCCATTTTGTTTGCCATTTTTTTTAATGAAAAATTAGTTTTTTTTTACATATTTAAAACTTAACATAACAAAATTTTAATATAATTATTAGAATTTGATAACAAAGAAATAGTCTAACCAGAGATGAAGCTTCATAAACCTGAGTTCATAGATGTACAGTAACTACTGATTAACAAAATTAAGGAAAAATGCCTAATCTATTAATAATAGCAATCTCAATTAATGTCAAAGATTGTGAATTCCACCTAATTGGAAGGCTATGTATTTTTATTGCAAAAAAAAATTAGAGTTAAAAAAATACCTAAGATGTCTTTTTTTTTTTTGTAATGAAACTGTTTCTTAAATAGTGCGTCTATTCAAATTTTAGTTACTTTAAAAATAGTTAATCTGGAAATATTCTTTATTGTTACTTTAAAAATAGTTAATCTGGAAATATTCTTTATTGTTACTTTAAAAATAGTTAATCTGGAAATATTCTTTATTGTTAGTTTAAAGTTCTGTAAACTTTCACACATAAACAAACAAGTGCAATGGTTGTATAAGTGCTTGAAATTTGTTTTTCTTTTGTTCTCGAATTTTGCTGATAATAATGTATGAACGATTTTTTTACTGTACAAATTAAGTTCATAAAGAGTGTTTTACAAGAAATACATGAATGTGCTTTATGAAATTTGTTTTTTCCTCACCTGTGCATGCATTTTAACATTCTAAGGAATGAAAAATGTTTTGCATGCATGCGGTTTAATAACTCTAAAAAATTTGTGACGGTTATAATTTTGTTGGTGAAAGTCATAGCTAATTCTGTGAAAAGTTAGTAGATATATTTTCTTTATGAAAAGATACCATTTATTTCGAAGGTGAAAAATAAAAGAATGATCATTAATTTATTAATTATTTGATAAAAAATTATGGTTTATGGAAGAATTAAAATGATTAATTAATAAATAATTATATGGTTAAGTGTTCCATATATACATTAAGAATCCATGTAGTTAAATAATATAATAAAATATCAATATCAATACGGACAAAATTCATAATTCTTGGGGAATCCCAAACATGTCAAAAATGTATATTTGTATCCTTAAGAATTGAAATTAGTTTAATATAAATTAATACAAATTTAGAATGTGATTGGGTAATTTTCATCAACAATAAAGAGCCTAAATTTTTTAATAAAGTATTTATCAAAAAACTTGATTTTCTGTAAGGGTTAAACCACATATTTTGTCAAAAATTACAAAATATTAAAATTTTGTTTTAATACATATTTGCATCTTTTACTACCATAATACGAGGGTTAAAGAGGTTTGAGACCTTAGGTGTTCATGTTTCTCCAGAAAATAAAATTTTTTATAGGGGTTTTGTCCACTGAATAAGTGTATATGAAATTTAAATAAATTACATGTTGAAAAATTTGAAATGATGTCCATGCAGCATGAAAATAATTTTAACATACATTAATAAAAATTTAGAATGTGATTGGGTAATTTTGATCAACAATAAATAGCCTAATTCTTTTAATAAAACATTTTTCAAAAAACTCGATTTTTTTTGTAGAGGTTAACACACATATTTTGAGAAAAATTAAAAAATATGAAAATTCTGTTTTAATGCATATTTTCATAATTCACTGACATAGTATGAAGGTTAAAGAAGTTTGAGACCTTAGGTGTTCATGTTTTTCCAGAAAATAAAATTTGTTTTATAGGGGGTTTGTCCACTGAATAAGTGGTATATGAAATTTAAATAAATTACCTGTTGGAAAATTTGAAATGATGTCCATGCAGCATGAAAATAATTTTAACATACATAATAAAAATTTAGAATGTGATTGGGTAATTTTCATCAACAATAAAGAGCCAAAAGTTATTAATAAAGTATTTATCGAAAAACTTGATTATATATAGGGGGTTAACCCACATATTTCGAGAAAAATTAAAAAATATGAAATTTTTGTTTTAATACATATTTACATCATTCACTGACATAGTATTAAGGTTAAAGAGGTTTGAGATCTTAGGGGCTCATGTTTCTCCAGAAAATAAAATTTGTTTTATAGGGGGTTTGTCCACTGAATAAGTGGTATATGAAGTTTAAATAAAGTACATGTTGGAAAATTTGAAATGATGTCCATACAGCATGAAAATATTTTTAACGCACATTAATACAAATTTAGAATGTGATTGGGTAATTTTCATCAACAATAAAGAGCCTAAATTTATTAATAAAGCATTTATCCAAAAACTCGATTTTTGTAGGGGTTAACCCACATATTTCGAGAAAAATTAGAAAATATGAAAATTTTATTTTAATGCATATTTGCATCATTCACTGAATAGTATGAAGGTTAAAGCGGTTTGAGACCGTAGGTGTTCATGTTTCTCCAAAAAATATAATTTTTTTATAGGGGGTTTTCCACTGATTAAGTGGTATATAGAAATGAAATAAATTACATGTTGGAAAATTTGAAATAATGTTCATGTATCATGAAAATAATTTTAAAATACATTAATACAAATTTAGAATGTGATTGGGTAATTTTCATCAACAATAAAGAGCCTAAACTTTTTTAAAAATCATTTATCGAAAAACTCAATTGTTTTGTAGGGGTTAACCCACATATTTCGAGAAAAATTACAAAATATGAAAATTTTGTTTTAATGCATATTTGCATCATTCAATGACACAATATGATGGTTAAAGAGATTTGAGACCTTATGTGTTCATGTTTCTCCAGAAAATATAATTTGTTTTATAGGGGGTTTGTCCACTAAATAAGTGTTATATAAAATTTAAATAAATTACATGTTGGAAAATTTGAAATGATGTCCATGCAGCATGAAGATAATTTTAACATACACTAATACAAATTTAGAATGTGATTGGATGATCTTCATCAACAATAAAGAGCATAAAGTTATTAATAAAGTATTTATCGAAAAATTTGATTATTTGTAGGGGTTAACCCACATATTTCGACAAAAATTACAAAGTATTAAATTTTTTTTTAATGCATATTTGCATCTTTTACAAAAATAGTACGATGGTTAAATAGGTCTGAGACCTTAGGTGTTCATGTTTCTCTAGAAAATAGAATTTTTTTATATGGGGTTTGTCTACTGAATAAGTGGTATATGAAATTTAAATAAATTACATGTTGGAAATTTTGAAATGATGTCCATGCACCATGAAAATAAATTTAACATACATTAATAAAAATTTAGAATGTGATTGGGTAATTTTCATCAACAATAAAGAGCCTAAACCTGTTAATAAAGCATTTGTTAAAAAACTCGACTTTTTTGCAGGACACATATTTCGAGAAAAATTAAAAAATATAAAAATTTGTTTTAATGTATATTTGCATCATTCACTGAAATATTATAAAAGCTAAAGAAGTTTGAGACCTTAGGTGTTCCTGTTTATCCAGAAAATATAATTTTTTAATAGGGGGTTTGTCCACTGAATAAGTGGTATGAAATTTAAATAAATTACATATTGGAAAATTTGAAATGATGTCCATGTACCATAAACATAATTTTAACATACATTAATAAAAATTTAGAATGTGACTGGGTAATTTTAATTAACAATAAAGAGCCTAAAATGTTTAATAAAGCATTTATCGAAAAACTTGATTTTTTGTAGGGATTAACCCACATATTTCGAGAAAAATTAGAAATTATGAAAATTTTGTTTAAATGCATATTTTCATCATTCACTGATATAGTATGAAGGTTAAATATGTTTGAGACCTTAGGTGTTCATGTTTCTCCAGAAAATGTAATTTTTTATAGGGGTTTTTCTACTGATTAAGTGGTATATAGAAACTAAATAAATTACATGTTGGAAAATTAGAAATGATGTCCATGTACCATGAAAATAATTTTAACATACATCAATACAAATTTAGAATGTGATTGGGTAATTTTCATCAACAATAATGAGCCTAAAATTTTTAATAAAGCATTTATCGAAAAATTTGATTTTTTGTATCATTAACCAACATATTACGGTAAAAATTAGAAAATATGAATTTTTTTTTAACTCATATTTGCATCATTAACTGATATAGTATGAAGGTTAAAGAGGTTTGAGACCTTAGGTGTTCATGTTTCTCCAGAAAATATAATTTTTTTATAGGGGGTTTTCCACTGATTAAGTGGTATATAGAAATTAAATAAATTACATGTTGGAAAATTTGAGATGATGTCCATGTGCCATGAAAATAATTTTAACATACACTAATAGAAATTTAGAATGTGATTGGGTAATTTTCAACAATACTAAAGAGCCTAAAATATTTAATAAAACATTTATCGAAAACTCAATATTTTTTTGTAGGAGTTAACCCACATAATTCAAAAAAAATTAAAAAATATGAAAATTTTGTTTTATTGCAAATTTTCATCATTCACTGGTGTAGTATGAAGGTTAAAGAGGTTTGAGACCTTAGGTGTTCATATTTCTCCAGAAAATAGAATTTGTCTTATAATGGGTTTGTCCACTGAAAAGTGGTATATGAATTTTAAATAAAATAATGCACCATGAAAATAGTGTGCGATTGGATAATTTTCATCAACAATAAAGAGCCTAAATCTTTTAATAAAGCATTTGTAAAAAAACTCGATTTTTTTTGTAGGGGTTAACACACATATTTCGAGAAAAAAATAAAACTATGAAAATTTTGTTTTAATGCATATTTTAATCATTCACTGACATAGTATGAAGGTTAAAGAAGTTTGAGAGCTTAGGTGTTCCTGTTTCTCCAGAAAATAAAATTTATTTTATTGGGGATTTGTGCACTGAAGAAGTGGTATATGAATTTTAAATAAATTACATGTTGGAAAATTTG